CAGGTGCAGCTCATCTACAGGGAAGTTAAAGCAACTTTCTTTGCACATCAGGTGAACAGCACTATGCTCAGTGTACTTCTATCCATGGTAAGTGCTGCTGTTAAGTATCTTATGTCAGTCCCAGAGTGAGGGAAAAAACAAAACAACACAAACCAGTGCTGCAATATCTGGTGAAAGAAGGTGAATCTTTACATTTATTATGCATTATGAAGGCAGGCAGAGAATTCATAATGTTCACTTAGAAAATCCATTTGAGAATTTGATGTGAAAGAACTGCTCCATTGGGAAGGTGACTTTCTCAACTCCTTTAGAAGCTGTAACACCTACATTTTGTTTAGCCTTTCCTCAGTGATGGGTAGTCATTTTGAAGGTGCTACAAAATCTGCAGTATGCAAGATGATGGCCTGCCTGTTTAGTGAAATGGAGGCATGTACAGGTAACTTTGGATTTGGTTGTTTTCAAAGACAAATCTCAAACATTGGGTGTTAGGTACCCACAGTCCCAGTGACATTGCAACACAAAATTTTATACATTACCATCAATCAACAAATAGTCTCTTAGCTAACTTCAGTAATGTGCACTAAATTCAATTCCTCTCTTACACTGGCGTCTATGCCTTCTCCAAGAAGACAGAAAAAGACTAATTCCAGTTTAAAGTAACAGAAGTAGAAAAGAGAAGAGAGCCCAAATCACCCAAATCCAGGCCAATATGCTAATGGACAATTTGGTGACAAAGTGCTGACTATCATTAGCATTTCAATTTCTTAGGGACCCATGTAAGATGACTAAAGAAGTTTGAGCTTTTGCTGCCTTACATTTCAGACAATATTGTTTTTGTCAATTTTCTGAGTAATTGTGTAAACCTCAAAGAAGTCAGCTTGATGTTACATTACACTGAAGAAATGCAAATCATTAACTCACTTCAATGTCAGAAATTAGCTTACACATGCAGCAGAAGTTGTGGAAAGGGGACTTCCACACAGATGTGAGCAAACTGCAGTAAACTAGCAAAACTACAAGAATTTGAGGAACCTGAATAATTATGATTCCCAGGTGTTTTCACTAAAATGTGTCTCAGGCTACAGCTTGCATTCTGGATACAAACCCACATTCAAAATCATCTTCAGTTTGTAGTTTTCTGCTTTATCCCTCAAACCAAAAGTAACAGGGTAAAGAAAAATACTCCTTCAACCAAACCATGCATTCTGTTTCCATCAAGTTTGAAGGACTGAAAACAAGAATCATCTCCAGTGGTGTACTAGTACACATGCAAAAACTACGGGACTCTCAAAAGACTGGTCTTTGAAACAGTTTTAGTCTTTTGAAGATGAGTACCAGAAATTACACTTGCACTTGAAAGACGAGCTGGAGATCCAAAGCCTGGGATTTTAATGAGACTTGCCCAGCTCCAGCAGGTAAGCATCAATGTAATGACCCCCGGGCCGTGGTAACTTGCACCACAGCTACTGGCTGACCAGCAGGTACAGCAGCAGTCCAGCTCCTGTACGGCAGGCAGTCCCCTCAGAGAAAAGTACACATCTACGTAAAGAAAAGGAGCGATAAGACCCCTCCACTTTTTTGTGTGTGTGTTAAACTGGGAAACTGTGTGAAACATTCATTTTCGAGAAGATATTTTTAAAAGCTTCATCCTTCAGCTGCAAACTGACATTTTGCAGTGAAATGTATTTTTGTACTGTCTAGAAATTAATTTTTTCACATTTCTCCCCAGAGGCAATGCCATCCTTGAAAATTATAACTGTGCCAGTGACATTACAGTGTTAAACAACTGGCTTTTTCATGACTAAATGCTAAGTTTAAAAGGAAGTAACTCTTCTCAATGGGCAAGTTTGTGTCACGGTTAAAGGGAAACAAATCCCAACTATCCAGAAACCTTAGAGTTAGCTTAACTTGCTCTTCAAACTTTGCTACTTCTAATCCCTGTCTTGCTTTGTTATTCAAGAGAATGTAAGTCTGGTTTTGCTATTCAGGCCATTTGTGTCTCCTCCAGTCTTCAAAGGCTCCAGCACAGTTAGTGTTATGAGGACTGCACAGTTGCATACCACCCACCAGAAGTGATCCAGTGCCTGCAGCAAAGCAGCAACATGTAAGTGCAAAAATTCTTGCAGCTTTATCTGCAGGTCTGTACAGAGGACAGCTTTAAATAAAAACCAGAAGCTTCAATGGGCTGGATCGCTTCTTGCTTTCCTTCTGCTGCCACACTTGCCTCCCATTCTGCTCATGCAGCCAAGACAGAAGAGAAGTGGAGAAGAGCTGTTCAGCTAGCTGTTCATATGTTCTTGCAGAAGTGCCATCCAAAGCAAACCAGAGGAGGCAGAACTGCTAATACTTGCACTTGTGGAGGCTTTTCAGAAGAGAAGTCTTGGGGTAGCTTGGGTTTTGACTGCGCTCTTTCTATTTTGCAGACACACATGGTGGAAACGTAACAAGGGCACACAGCAGATACCTAAAGACTGGGTTTTGTTCCAAGCTTTGTTTCTAAACCTTTGCATAAACTGTGGGCAAGTTACTTTGTATCTCTGCGATTCTGACCCATATTACACACCAAAACGTACTATTTCGGACTCCTTAGTTTACAAGTTTAAAAACATGTTAATTGTATTAAAATTGTACACAAACTCAACTGCTTCAGAAAAAAAAAAAGTTAATCCCAAAAGAGTATGAAAGAGCACAGGCGCTTGTCACATTAGATTGTAGAGGCAATTTTTAGAGCAAAAGTAGACATATGCACAATTTGATGCATATTCTGTTTTTTCAAACTGAGGTTGTGCATAATTTGATGCACATATTGCCTTTTCAAACAGAGCATGTGTATACAACCATCTTACTCCTATACTGTAACTTTAAAGTAAAAAAGAAAAATCTTAACAGCAATATCCTTCCAGTACCCTAATGTATTTTAATATTTTAAATCAGCAATTTTGACTTGAGAGCTCTGTAGACACATTTATCATTCAGTTGTACAACCATACTATAAACTGTCAGCTCTTCATCACTGTCCACTCTGACAAATGACTCTCGCAACAGCATTTCCAAGTTATCCTTAGCTGCCAACACACCTCATAAATTCACATCATTGTAGTGTTATTAGAATTTCATTTCATGCTTGCATTCGCAAACATTTAAGCTTTCAACCTCTGCTGCTGGGCATTAATCATGGAATTAATCATAGGATTAAGAATGCCAAATTTAAACTCAAGGTTAATAACATGCTCACCCAATATTAGTTTTACATTCTGTCATGGGAAAACACTTTTTAAAAGAAAAGTACAAGACCTTTGTCTGAAGTTACCAGATATACACATAGACTAATTGTACTGTTGTTCCATCATGAAATGAGAAGTTGCCCAAATTCAGTATTGCTGCTTAAAGAAAAATTTCAAATCCTTAGATCCTTGAAAAAAACAATCATTTGGCCTCTGTAAATCTGCTTGTACTTTGCCATGAGGATTAGCTGAAAGACCAATTATGAAAAAACTAACAGCATCGACTGAGTTTTCAAAAGTGATGATCAGAGAAGATTGTCACAGAAAATACTGTGATTTAACAGAAATATGAAATAATAAATGTCATTTAAGAATATTAGATTCTCACATTCAGTTGACATGTATCTTCATTTTTAAGATGCATCTGCATTAAAAACACAAAGCACTTGCTGGTTAACAGAATATTAATGTGCAAACATAACTCTGCTGATGCTAAAACATAACCTTTCAGTAGAAACTTAGATCAACTTCAGATGATTATGAAACCATATCTCTAGTTTCTCTGATAAACAACAGGATAAATAATATAGTCATCCTGTATCTTTTCCTTCCCCGGCTTTATAGCCCATAAATAAATCAACACTTGGTACTAGCAATGGAATGAGTCAAATCTGTGATTCAACTCAGCCTTTTTTATTTCTTCAGATACATGTTTGGGATGTGCATTTAACTATTACTGCTGCTTCAAGCAATGTCCTCAAGAGTTCAATGACAGTCAACTAAGTAAATTAACGGAAACTGCTTTCATTACAACTGAGTTACTTATATAACAGACTTACTGTTTTAATCTCAGATACGTCATTTAAAAACCCAGCCTCACCCCCTCAATCCTGCAGGAACTACAAAATTAATATTAGTTTTTTGGCAGCCACATTGGCTCTTGCAATTCTTTACAAGCAGTAACCCACTAGATATCAATACTACTTCTGAGATCAGTTGCCCTAAGTTACCAAAATTTTACTAATAGGAAAGAAGAGGTCAAGTGATCAAATACACCTACCTGTTTCTGGCACACACACTACAAGCCAGTACTAGAGCTCATACTAATTGATTGACAAAATTCATTCTTGGAAAACAAGTGTTACTCAGGGAAGAAGAAGTCTGTACAAAAACCTCTAGGGCAAGCACCTTACTCAGCTGTGTACAAACCTGGGCCTTTGGTTCTGATAGGTACCAAAAGCTTGAGCCAACACATCTACAACTTCACTCAAAAATGTGGCTTTCAGCTTTTTTTTGTTTTCTGTTAACAGACTCTGCAAATCGTTAATAGTCTCCAAGCAGGAAGTGGCCATGCTGCCTAGGAGGATGTACCATCCAGTTCCACTGTCCAAATTTTACATTCCAAATGCCTCCCCCAAAACACCTCCCTATTACTACCTCAGGAGCTACGTTGAAAGCAGCAGAAAAAGTGTTCAGAGGCAAGGATCTGTAACTGAGTTTCATGCTTTGGTTTAACAGGATACCTAGCGTGGACTCCCTGGAGAGCCACTTACATTAGTCAGTTATAAACATTAGAATTTCCCAGGCTAGAAACCCCTGGAGGACTTCTGAATAATAGCAACACACTTTACAATAATTCTGTTTTAATAGCTTTTTCCTCTTTATAGAATTTTTCTGAAGAAAGTTATGATTTCTTTCAAGAAAAGTTTGCAAACAGTTACCAAAAATATGGAGGCACTATGATGTCCCCCTTCTGCAGATTAAAAGATTACTGACCTCACTGAGGTAAATAAAAAAGGAGCACGTGGACCCATCTACACCGTAACTTGCATAACAGGGATCCGATCGCCACATATCTTTCATCCACTGTAACAGAACAAAAACATAGTCTGTTAGGTTTAAGTACCATGTAATAACTCTATACTACTTCACACTGAACTCAGGAATAACAGGGAAAGCTGCAAGCAACTATATCCAACTAGATAATCACAAATTAAAAAAAATGAATTTTATTAATATTTTGCAGCATACTGCATCTCTGCATTCAGCCATGTTGGGGAAGTAACTACATACCAGAAATGAGCACAGTTTATACAAATTGGTAGCCAGGCAAGCAGAGACAAGTATCAAAAGGAGAATATAATCGGGATCCAGACATACGGGTGTGGCTGGAGTTTACTGCATTGCACCCCCCATGTTACGCTTGCTCTGGAATTTAACAGATCATTTCAGTTACCAAGACTGAGAAATCTGCCTGATTCTGCCAAGAATCTGCCATTTCTGAAGAAGCAAGTACTTAATTTAAATTCATATTTTAATATTCAAATAATGTATTACATAGCCACTATGCAGCCAGTTTGTCAAAATGGATCAAAACATAGACCAAAGATTTAAAACTTAATTTTTTTTTAAATGCTACTATCTAAGAATTTTATTTAGAGAAAAAAGGCAACACAAGTTCACATATACTTTAGTAGTTATTTGTTTTCACTTTCAGAAATAAATCGTAATACTTGATAATGATATTTAAGTGTTCAACAATTTCACTTTTGTCCCCCACTACGAAAAGAGTATCCTTACATTTGAAATGTATCTTGGGGGCGGGGAGGAGCCAAAAACCTTCATCTCTGCAAGTTTGTTGGGTTTTTTGGTTTTGTGGGTTTGTTTTTTTTCTGTTTGGTTGGTTTTTGTTTATTTGGGTTTTGTTTGTTTGTTTTCGTTTCCAGCCAAAGTCTGATGACTTTCAATATTTGGCCTTTTTAACTGCATTATTAGTAAAGTATAGGTTTTATGTAGAATCAACTGTGAATCCCAAAGTTCTGGTTGCACTTTGTGCAGTGCCTAGTTTGTGAGTGGAAAAGGCAGAATGCTTTTAACAGAGAAGGGGAAGAGAGGAACTGGAAAGAGCTGTTGGCAAAGAGGGGAAAGAAGTGTAAACAAATGTCTTGCTGTAACAGAGAAAGGGCTGGAGTGAGGTACACACGGAATCCCAGTCCTGGGGTGGGGGAACGCCAAATGACTCATAATGGGGAAGAAAACAGGGCTTTTCAAAAAGGAGAAGAAAGTTTCTGAATAACAAGACAGCATCCAAATAAGGCATTTTATTAAATAACATAGCATTTTAATACAATATGGCATTTTATTCCTGTCTTAATAGGATGCCACTTTACTTCGCAGCAGCAGTAGTATTTAAAAGCTTGAGGTGAGCAATGCTGTAGCAACACACACCTAAATATCCCCTTTTTCGACCCTGTTGTTCTTGTTTTACACCACTGTCTGAGCAGTGACCTCTTGCAACATACATTCCGTTTTTAACAGAATACACATAAGATTAAAAACGGTTCGCTTACCTTTATTTTCCCTTCACAGTGAGGAAAACCATCCATAGGAGGCAATTCACACTGTTCTTGGGCTCCATTTATGAGATCTAAAGAAAAACAGACCACAACCAAATTTCACCCAACAGTTCTGACAAGACAGCCTAATGAATCCTTCCTTTTATTTTCATGAATCCATAATACAGACTGAGGAGTCCTACTGTGTAATATTTGTCATAACATTAAAACTCAGTGTGTTCTTTTTTGACTACAGAAGAAAATGGTTGCATAGATTTCAATGCTGACTTGCAGTGAAAGTGCTGAATTACAAAAACTGGTCTATGAAGACTTAAAAATTAAGCTAATCCATACTGAGAATAATAAAAAGCAAAGTATCTTCCTAATCAAAACGTGCTTAAAGCTACGGAACTGCAACAATTTGTTTCGGATTGTCAACATTTGCTCTTAAACATAAAAACTAGTTTTTAAAGTTCTGTTATCACTTTATCAAATACCCATGATCTGAAACTTGGCATCAGATATACGAACCAACGAATAAATGTTGTAATATGATCAAATTTTACAACTGAGTAGCACTACATTGCATCTCATGAGAAGTATTTCCTATGGTCTCGAGGAATTTTCTTCTTTTTTGCCTATTTTAATATTTTATCATTCTAGACTTTTGCAACACATTAAAAAGTGTAATACAGAGCAACACTTCTAGCCCATGAGCCAAGGAAAAAGGAGCAGTTTTAAAGGGCATTACCACATCAACTCCAGGATAGGACTTCCTTTTAAGAACTTAGAAGGACCCTCTAACACAGGCCTTTAAGGCAAGAAAAATGATTAACCTGGTGGAGAGATTCTTGCCAAAGGCAGCAGAGGATAAGGTTTTCAATTTAGGTAGTTCATCCCAGAGTTATCTACATTATACCTGCATCATTTCTGGCTTTTCCCACGGGCAAAAATCAAGATCATTAAAGCCAGCCATCCATCAACTTAGGAACATTTCATGCTATGGCAGTTACAGTGCACGACTTCACCCAGAATATCCTTATCAGAGACCTCAGGAAAAAAAAAAAAAAAAAAGGCTGCAACATTAAAATAGAGTAGGCAACAAGATCAGGTGATAAAAGTTAGAACGTTGTATTATATACAAAAAACACCTCCTGATCTATCTGAATTTTCTCCACTTTTTTGCAAATAGTTTCTTTTAAAGATGAAACTTGAAATGTGAGTGAAGCATTGCAAAATGGAGCAGAGGGGGAAAGAAGAATCATGCCAAGAAGACGACACTTATTTGGCAGTCTCTGCAGCAGCAGTAATTTGACAAACTGAGCTGTACTGCCAGTGACAGTAACACTGAAGCAAAGTAGTTTTTAAGATGACTTCGTAATTTCAAATCAATAAGCACTTTCAAAATAATCGCACTATCTTCTTATCCTTACAAGATTCTTGCAGACTAGACCACTGACATCTATGGCTCTGATTTCTGCTTCAAGAACATACAGAGCATGCACACAGATACCAACAACTTAAAAGTATGTTTTAAATTCAGCCAGTACAGCTAGATAACAATGGGACTTCTTGCTTTACTACAGTTCAGGAACCAGACCTTCCACTTCAATCACACTGAAATCAGAGCTTGAGATCCAATGGCAAACTCACCTTAAACTGAAGAGAGACATGGTTAAAATGATGGCAATTTTCAGTAATCAATATAACACCATTAGAAAAGCTTTATGGTCTAAAAAAAGCTTTATGGCTTTTTTTTTTTTTTTTTGCCACCTCCAAGCCTGAATACAGAGCTTTTCATAAGATCTTCCCAAAAACCAAAAGACATCTGAAATCTACGATATAACATCAGAGATGCAGTTGAACCATAGGGCAAGTTCAACTTTCAGCGCCATACTGAACTTAAGGTTGAAAATTCTGAATGTCTGGGCAATTCTGTTCAAGCAAGTCTTCCCACCAACTTCAGTTGCATTTGGGCAAGTTACACTTGTCATGCTCAAAGATTTTTTTGCTTCCTCCCATAACTACTATATATAGAACCAACCAACTGTAATTAGTAATTTTCAGAAAGGTAAGAGACAATTATTAAACCCTTAAAGAGAAGGTATTGTTAATGGTATTCAACATGCATTTCCACATACCCTTTCCTCTGCAACAGAGCTTTCTTAAGCTTATCCTTCCTCAGTCACTGCCCACTGAACACCACGCCAGCAAAACCATTCACTTGACTCTTGGTTGGATCACTGATACGGAATCAGTTAAAAATAGTTCTTGCCCAGAAGCATTAGTCGAAACCAGATTTTTGATTGGCACTACAGAGGAAGCAAAGCAGAGGTGGGAATGATAGTCCCCTGGGGGCTGCAGCTGCAGGAGGTGCCACTGGCACAACCTAGCAAAGCCACTTAAAGTGTCACATACAACCTTTGCACTGCTTGCTCTGGGCTAAATTATTTTCCCTTGAGAGAAGGTCATTCCTCCTTAGACCTGATGTTACTCCTTCAGCTCCTTATTTGTCAAAAGCTGCTCTTCTACCCTTTCTGTTGACCAGAATGTATAGCTTGCCAACATGAAGGATCCATGAACTTTGTCATTTAAAATAAAAAAAATAAAAAATGTCTTCTATCTCAAGCTAACTATGCTATCATATGATGGCTTTCCACTTCAGAAGGTTAGTCAAGCAAACTCTCTCTTCTTCTGAAGTCCTTCTAAGTACAGGCTAATACAGAAGCACAAGCTTTATAATAATTCTTTATTTTACAGCATATAAATACCTAGTGTGCCAAGCCTATCACTTACACCATCCTGCTTTTTAATGGGTATCTTGTGACCTGTCAAAGAAAGGAAGGATGGAGAAAAAAACCACAAAATACAGACAACTGCCTCATTTTTGGTACATGCACAACTGTAGTCTAGATAGCTGTTTGCTTTTGTCATGCGTAAACACATTTTCTGCATACAAGGGTGTTTTAGTAGATGGGCAGTGATCTTTGCTACTGTTCATTTTTCACAAGGTTTTACAGGATCCCTGTACTTGCACGATCTACTTGCAAGAATAAAAATTGCCCTCTTCCAACAGTGCCATATTGGGCCAGCCATACACTTCAACAGCTCAGATCAGCTGTGGCAGTACTACATACAGATGCTTTCCAAGCAGAAAGCCAACCCTCCCAGCTCTCCCTGTTCCTGCCCATTCCAAGTAAAAAGCAAGAGCCAGACATTTACGTCAGCACAAGTTACAGATGTTCTCAGGTTTCTGGTCCCCTCCGTGGCCAGCTTCATTGTGGTTTTTCCAGAGCAGTACCACTCTTGCTCTTCCATTGGGATGATTTACATTCAAACAGCACACTGATCTCTCCAGAATAATCTGTATGTGTAGGAAACGCAGAACACTATCACTCAGCTTTATAACCTCTAACCATGTTGAAATGCTTGGTGAAGTATTAACGTCTCTCGTAGTCATTTCCAAGAGTACCTGACATCTTTCCCCCCATCCTTGCCAGCAACAGCAAATACTCCTAAGAATCACCTTCCTCAAAAATGTTAACGTCTTTTTTTCCACCATTATAGATTCTGAAGATGTTTCATGTGCTTACCACCTTCCCACTCAGTCTTACCATGGATCTATCCCAAACACCTATATCAACTTTCACTTGCTTCATTCACAGCTACTAATCAGGTAATATCATAGCGAAGGCAATTCTATAAAGTTTAAATATAAACTGTCCCATGAAACCATTTACATAAAGTATTGTCCAAAGCAGAACAAAATGTAGCAATATATGCATACAAGAGGAAATGAATGTGAAAGAAAAGGAGAAGCAATACAGAAAAGCAACTCTGTTCCACCTGCGTGCTCCCTAGACAAGCAATCTTTCCTTTGTGTCTCCAAATAGGAAGTTAGCAGATGTAATCAGACTGGAAACACACCTACATCAAAGAGAGCTGTCCAAAGCAGTCACTATGGGAACATACTGATTTCCACATATAAGCCTGAGAATTAAATGCAAAAGTCTGAATTCACTTGTGAATAATTTTGACGGTTCCAGTCAACTATTACTTGCACTGAAGCCATCCCTTTTCTTCTTGGCCACAGTGAGTGTGAGTTCTATGCTGTGAGAAACGTTCCTCCCAACTTTTTTCTTCCTTAATGATCAGAACCTATATGAAGAATTCCATTTCTGCTCCTCTAGCTGCTCACTACTAACTAGGCACGGAGGGAGTGCTGGAGCCTGTTGGTAACAGCTAGGAGCCTGTGGGCAACAAAAAGGCTCCTTTCCCCATCCTTACTAAACTAGCTGTTCTGAACTACAGTTATAAACATAGGAAACATCCTTGTAAAATATCTAAACTCAAGGAAGCTGTGACCAGCCTCCTTAAACACAAATTTATAGCTACAAATTAACAGCCCGGCTTGCCCTCATCAAACGATGCTGCACAGCTGGAGCAGCAGAATCAGCAATGGTTGGACAGTACTCCCCAGCGTGTCTCTAGCTCTACGCGGGCCCACACTGCCAAATCAGCTCACTCTCTTTTTCGTACACAGGCTTCAATCATCCACACTAACGAGGAGCTAGCCATTCTTAAACAAGAATCCAGAGGTGAACAAATTTTGTGTATCTCGTGGACAACTGGGACCAACCTCAACCAGATACCAGCAATTTACACTTTTGAATGGATCACAAAGACAAGGGAGATGAAGCAAGCGGAACCCTGGGGATGCTGATCTACACATCTGGATCTTCCAAAACATGAAAAGTAAGTTTTAAAATACAAGTCAAGAGTTTAGAGTTTTTTACCATTTGAAGATTACAAAAACACCCAAACCCTAATAGATTATAATATATTGCCCCCTGCACATGGGTCAGGGCAACCTCAAGCACAAATATAGGCTTGGTAGAGGATTGAGAGCAGCACTGAGGAGCAGGGCTTGGGGGTGTTGGTTGCTGAGAAACTCAACATGACCCAGCAATGTGTGCTCACAGCCCAGAAAGCCAACCATGTCCTCGGCTGCATCACAAGCAGCATGACCAGCAGGTCGAGGGAGGGGATTCTCCTCCTCTACTCCACTCTGCTGAGACCCTTCCTGCAGTGC